TTCTTTGTATTTTGCTAGTGGTGCTCTGATACTTAGACCTGGCACTCTGGCCCAACTACAAACAGACTGCTCCTCCAATGGGCTTAATCCGTCTCTGGTTTTCTCCCTTCTGATGTATTTCTCTGCTATGATTCAGAAGGTATTTGAGTCTGTCTTTAAGAGTTTAGGTGTCTCCATGTCCCCAACTTTCCTTTCTTCTCCATGGTATGACACAGCCCCCAAACCATGAACATCTTACTTTCATATCTCAAAGTAGGAAATTCTTTTTCCTCCCAGATTCATGGGCATCTTTCTTCCCCCCTTTTTTTGCATAAAGTTATTTATTTAAATTTTATATCTGTGAATTCACAGGTTGATGTGTTTCATTATATTGTTTCTAACTCTCTTAAAGTAACTTACTATATAAGTAAAAGCTTCTTGTACCACGTAAAACCATCTCGTGTGCCATCAGCGGTATATGTACCATGCTTTGGGAAACATTGTTTAAGGCCATCTGGGTCTGTTGGTGAAACAGCTAGAGAAGGGAGGAATAAAAAAGATAAGAAAGAAAAATGATATTGATGTATGTTCTTTTAAAATATATTTAGTGGGTATAAGTTTAGTTTAGTTTTGTTACATGGATATATCGTGTAGTGGTGAAGTCTGGGCTTTTAGTATACCCATCATCACGCATCTTTCTTAATTTCCCCAAAACTCTAGAGTGTGCCCCCTTCTCAACTGGAAGCCTATAATATTACCTTGTTTATATGGATTCCAGAAATCTTCAAAACAACAAGCTAAATTCCTGTATTTTGGATGACTATCTGGCACTCTGGTGAGCTCTACTTGTCCCCTTGCGGCTCTACCATTATCCCTGCCAGATGTAAACTAATGGGCAGACCCAGTCTATAGGATACCAACTCTGATCCATTTACTCTGCATGCATAGCAATCCTTTTGAATTCTCAACCCCATCTAGGGCCCTAGCAGCCTGCTTTCTTCTGGGGATCCTTTGTATTGGTCAGCTTTCTAAAGCCCTTGACAGTTATAGGGACTCTCTGTTGCCAATATATCATTGCTTCGTTGAGTTGGAAGTCTTAGAAAGTTGCTTAATGAGTTTCTTAACCAAGTGACTTGAGCCCAAGAACTTTTAGAGCAAATAGCTATTTTATTTTTTAGTCCTGTCTTTTTCTTTTGAACAACAGATTCTAGAATTCTTTTTTTTTTTTTTTTTTTGAGGCAGGGTCTCACTCTGTTGCCCAAGCAGTTGGAGGAGTGCTTAAGGTTAGGAGTTTGAG